TCAAACATCTCAAATGAACCAACCTGGTATGTTGCCGGCTAACATTAACGCATCCAACAAACCAAATGTGCATACCAAACGAATTGTAATACCGACGGAAGATGCAAATGGACTGTACACTTTGTACGTTTCCAAAGCTGATACAGATTCATCTCCAGATGATATTGTCAGCTACTTAATGGAAAAAGCCAACCTAAACCCGGATATATTCAAGGTTTTTGCACTGCCCAGCAAAAGAAAATACCGCAAAACCTACAATGCTTTCAAAATAACCGTATTCACACGGGAGGTATGTGAATTGCTATGCAACTCCGATATCTGGTCAAGTGAATATCGTGTTAGAGCTTTTGAAAAAACACGTAATCGAAGTAATGTTCATGGGCGAAAACACAATGACTACCGTCGTACAACAGCCAAGTCAACTTCAAACTCACGACATTCCAATAAGTTCAACAACAACAGTAACAAACATCACACCAGACACAACCGGAACAATAACAACAACAACAATCAGCGTCGGGACATGAATAACCAACACAGACGCCGACGTGAGGATCGATCGAATGAATTTGGCTACCATAATCGAAATCGTAATAACCACAACGGTCGATATAATTATGAACCTCGCCATCGTGAACATCGTGTAGATCATATGCACCATGGACAATTGCCACAGACCAATGTGCCGTCTCCATTTTGGTACCAAATGCCATATTTCTACCCTCCACCTCAGCAAAAGGTTCATTCTCATCCAACTATGCCACTATTCCATCCGCACTATACACACGTACCATATCAACCGTTCAACGTTCAAAATCACAATGGAATGTAAGTCATACAATGCTTGATGACATTTGGATATACTGCAACAATCTGAACGGCGTGAATGGTATAGACAAATCAGTTGATTTTTTATCAGAAGTTTTGGCAGCGATTTTCAAAATTTACATGTTGAGCGAAACGCACCTCAACGCAGATGTTTCTTCATCAGAGATATTTCCGCCGAACTTCGAAGTATTCAGATGCGATAGATCACCTACCACTGAACAGTTTCAACGTGTCAAGAGAAAGGGCTGGGGCGGTGTTCTTATCGCAATTGACAAGTCAATCAATCCGCAATGTATCGGAACAGCTGAACATCTTGGCGCTGAACAAGTATGGGCCAAAGTAAAATGCAACGGCAGAAACTTAATACTGGTCTAAGTTTACATAAGACCAGATTCACCGTTGGAAGTTTATAAAGCCCATCTGAATGCATTGGGTGAAGTAGCATCAAAAGCAAATCAAAATGATGTATTGCTTGTATGAGGTGATTTCAATTTGCGCAATCTGATTTGGTATACATGCAACACAAATGATGCTCATGATCCTGATATCAACTTTGAGCCGAATCCAGAAGTAGCTGTTGCTGTAAATGTGGTGAGCGAAAAAGAAAAAATTGTCATCGATACGTGCCACGAGCTGGGTTTGTTTCAAATATGTACTCACCACAATGAAAACCAACGAATGTTGGATTTGCTATGGACGAATGAGCCCAACATGTTCACATGCAATATGAGCAAAAGTAAAATAGCAAAAAATGAAACACACCATCAAGCACTCGAAGTCGTCATCCATGATAAAATTGACAGCAAATCTGATGATGTTATTACATACAAAGACTTCAAACATGCTGACTACACATCGATCAATAATTTTTTCGATAATGCCAATTGTAACAATGTTTTCAGCGGAATCAACTTGAACGATGCAATTGATCGGTTTTACGCAATAGTCAACACTGCAATTGATTGCTTTCGCTTGGCTATATTGAATCATTTTAGCACGTGTGTAAAAGTGCCAAAGTAATTTTTTTGAAAAATGGGTGACGAAGAATACAAAAATGGACCAGCTGGCTTGGAAACTGAGGGTATGATTGAAAGCAACTGGAATGAAGTCGTCGACAATTTTGATGACATGAACCTTAAGGAAGAACTACTTCGTGGCATTTACGCTTATGGTTTCGAGCGTCCTTCGGCTATTCAGCAACGCGCAATTTTGCGATGCATCAAGGAGCATGATGTAATTGCTCAAGCCCAATCGGGTACTGGAAAAACGGCAACATTTTCCATTTCAATTTTGCAACGAATTGACACCAACTTGCGCGAATGCCAAGCTCTCATTTTGGCACCCACTCGGGAATTGGCAACTCAAATCCAAAAAGTTGTCATCAATTTGGGCGAATTTTTGAAAGCCGAATGTTCAGCGTGCATCGGTGGTACCAACGTACGTGAAGACATACGGAAATTAGATTCAGGCGCTCATGTGGTCGTTGGAACACCTGGCCGTGTTTTTGATTTAATTAATCGTAAAGTGTTGCGTACGAACTACATCAAAATATTCGTGCTTGACGAAGCCGATGAAATGTTGTCACGTGGTTTCAAGGACCAAATTCATGATGTCTTCAAGACTCTTCCATCGGACGTTCAAGTCGTAGGGGGAGTATGTGTAAGTTGACCCACTTTGTAAGTTGACCCACCCCGCCGATTTTGTATTTTGACCGACAAATCGTCAATTTGGCTAGTCTCAATCGATTTAGAAACGTCAAAAACCAATATGAAAGTAGTTCCCAAGAGTAAATACGCTTCTTAAACGGCTCGGATCGGCTCATAAAAATTTTTTGCAAAAAAAAATCATTTTTATAAAAACTAAGTTTTTCGGACCATCATCAAGTAGACAATTTCAAAGATATCAGCAAAGCGAGTATAAGCTTTCTTCACTAGTTTTTCGTGTATTTTCATAATCCGAAGTCATTTCACACATGGCGAAATTCTTTCCGTGCATATTGAAATGTCGACCAATTTTGTAAGTTGACCCACCCGAAAAAAAATCAGAAAAATGAGACAACTATTCAGCGTAAACACTCTATATACGAGATTCATTGAATTTTAATGATTTTCCAATCGTTTTTGGACTTGAGAAACACGAAAAAATCGATGAAATATGAAAAATAGAGAATATGAAAAATAGAGAAATGGAATATGATGGCAAAAAATGCACCGACCCAAACGAAATTGCCAATTCATTTGCAACAAACTCTGGAAAAGCATATACACAACCGATCGATGAATCCGAAGCAAGCTATGACGAAAATGACCCGATATTATTCGAACGATGTGCAAATTTCCCACGTATTAATGTTACTGAAGAATTGGTTATGGAAAAAATCCACGGTTTTCCAAACAATTTGGTGTCTGGTCCCGACGAATACCGAATAAATTCATCAAAAACTACATTCACACATTGCTGAAGCCAATAACACACATATTGCGTGAATCGTTAAATTCTGGTTATGTACCGAACACATGGAAACGCTCTTATGTAAGACCTGTAAATATAAAATTGAGAACTATTGTGGAGTAGCACTGCAATGCATAATACCAAAACTGTTGTACTCGATAGTAGCAAATCATTTGAATTAGTACATGAAGAACTTCATCGATGACACGTTTTGTCAAAGGAAAGTCAACAATAACGAATCTGGCTGAATTTACTTCACATACGTTAGTCAACATGCAACATGGAACTCAAACTGATGCAATATATCTCGACCTTGCTAAAGCGTTTTGACGTGAAACTGCTCACACACAAGCTGAAAATTATGGGATTGAACGAGCAAATACTAAAATGGATAAAATCATATCTAAGTGAACGTCAAGATTGAATGGAGCCATGTCTAATCCCTTCGAAGTAACATCGGGAACAGGTCAGGGATACCCGATTGGAGCGGCACTGTTTGTCCTGTTTATCATTGCATAGTCAACCCCAACTTACAATCGTTTGCCGATGACACTCGCTTTTCAATGCACGACCATTCCACACCAACGGTCAATTTATGTTGTTATGGTTAAATATTTAACCCGAGGGTTTAAAGGTCATATTTAACCCCCAGGGGTTAAAGTTAAAAAGTTAACGCTCGGGTTCTAAAATGGCAAAAAAAGCTTAAATCAAAGGCTTGAACTACTGACCTTCGTCCAAATTAAAGCAGAAATAGTATCATCAAAATCCAATTTCATCTTCAATAATGTAGAAAATGGTCCAAAATGATTAAAAATCCTGAACTTTATGCAAAAACTGATTTTTCACCTTAGATCAACTCAAACATCCACCTGCTAATAGCGCATCGTTGTCATTTTACAAGACTTTCAAAAATTTTCATACACACGTGGCAATATTTATGTGATTTTTATGAAAAAAGTGAATTTTTTTGAAAAATTCATCCAAAACTATATTAAGGTGGGTCTAAAATGCTTGGGAAAAGGCTATATCCAATCAATTTTCAACGAGAAAACGATTTAAAGTGGTAAAAATGCGATCTGAAGCCATTGCATAGTTCAAAATAGGTTAAATTGGAGTGAATTTTCCAATTTGATCTCTTTGACTGGAAAATGATATATTTGTTCAAGAAACATGAAATAAGCCTCTGACGATATTTTCATGTTAGGACACTTTTTTTCATAAAAATGTTGGAATTCCACCAATAATTGGACTTTGGGGGATAATTCATGTGGGTTTGGTGGTAAATCGGTATTTTTACACTTGAATGTATTAAAACAAATTTTGTTCGGAAGATACATAAGAAGTGTATTTCCTGTAGCTTTGATTGGTGGAAACTAATATTTTCGAAAGAAATAATGAGTGTACACAATTGATGCAACAGTTTTTCATTTTTTTAAATATACATATTTGGTATTTCACGAGAGAAAATGGAACTTTTTTATGGTAGTGAAAATGTGTTTTTTCAAATGTATCAATAATTGTGTTTTTTCGAAAAAAGTTCAACAAAATTAGTGATAGCAGGTAAAAACAAGACCGTTCTTGAGTTTCAAGTTACTTAATCTATTTTGTTGTTTCACAACAAACTATTTTTTGGCGCACTACATGAAATGTATTTCATCAATGTAACTTTGAAGTAATATATTTATTTGCAAAATGAATTACAAGATCTCGGTTTGATTTCTTTTTTGAAATATACTGCTTTTGGTTTAAATTAAATAAATAATATGAGCATAGAATCTAAAATCACTTTAATTCTGTTCAAGACTCAGAAAATACTGTACGAAAAATTAATGTAATTTTTAAACAACATTTGACAATAATAATTTGATTGGCGCTTTGAGATATTATGCACCTATTTGTCGTTACTGCCATTGTTTTAAATTAAATAAAAAATATGAGCATAAAATTCAAATTCACCATAATTTGTTTCAACACTCAAAAAGTATCTAGAAAAAAAAGCAGATTAGTAGCTCTACATTTCATGTAGTGCAAAAAACCTCTAGACGAAGTTAAAATGGAGTGACGCTCATGTGAATTTATCTCTCAAAATAGCTGATATCATTTTAAGTGACACAGGAACGCTGTCGTACTCACAAATACGTTTACGTGCTGTTCCGAACGATTCAAATGCTAAATACAGCATTGCACGGACTGCCGTGCCATCCATAGGATTTTGCATTGTATAGCGTGCGTGTGTGAACGTCAAATATACTTAATATTGACATTTCGTTGTTTGATATTGGCTACACGTACGCACACGTAGTTTTGTGTGTTTTTTTTACCCGATATCCCTTATATCTGATCAGTTACGCAAAATACGCGAAAACCCTTTTAAAGGTCATTGTCCCATAAAATCGAGACCTAAGAGACTTGTACGAGTACATAACTGGCGCGCATATATATGCCAAATTTCAAAAATTGCTCGTTGTTCAGTTCTAGAATTGGCATCGATTCAATTTACTCTAACATTCTAGTGTCGCTATGATTCGACCAGTGAAAGCAATAAACCTTCCATTTTGCATTCAAACACAATTTTTTCATCATTTTTTGTAAGTCATAAGGCGGTCGATGTCGCGCAACACATTCGGGGTATAAATTCGGCTGATTTTACTATATAAACATGACCAGTTCAATTTTATTTTAACTGTCTGCTGCATATTTCTCAATTTTTCTGCGTGTCCTTTCTATTTAAGCCATTTCTGCTTTCAAATCATCAAAGAAGCTTAAAAATACCCGTTGGGAATCATAAATTTTTTCCCTAAAATTCATCCCATTTTGGCTAGTTTTTCAATTCCATTCGTCATTATTCTTTGCTAAATTATGTTCTACATACACGACCATTTCACACCAAGTGGGACAAAAATTGCAAGTGACCTCTCCGATTTCGCTCAAACTTGGTGTATAAACTTCTTATGGCCAAAAACTCGCAAAACCAGAAAATTAGGGTGACCTTCCCCACCTGATGAAAAGTTAGGGTGACTCAAATATTGAAAAAAATGAAAAATGGCACTTTTTGACATTTTTACACTAGAAAAGTGTGATACAAACTTTCAAAACTATATGCATGGTTGGATAGATAATCGATGGGGCTTCAAAAAAGACCACTACGACAACCCCATCCGGGCTCATTCAAGCTCTGAAAAGTGGGTTCAAAGTATAAAAATGGCAAACTCTTTTTTGACGTGAAATTTTTTTTTCGAATTTTTGGGCTTAAAACTCGGCCCACCTCAAATTCTTGAGTTTTTCGATATTCCCCAACTATCCGCCAACTCATATTTTATGAGAAAAAAATTCGGTGTTTTCACCATTTACCATTTTTTCATGGTTTTTCGACTACTTATTTGTTTTCACACCAAATAGGTGGTCTTACACTGGTGAAGTGTTCTGATAAAATTCTCACCAGACTCCAACGAATCAAAAAATAACAATGTTTGGGGTCGCCCTCCCCTTTGGAAGGGAGGGGGAGGCTGAAAAGTCGAAAAATCACCGAAAATCACTATTTTAGGGCAAAAACAGGGCAGAAACCCGCTTTTAGCCCCAAATCACTTTAATATTCGGAAATCGCGTAGAAAATTCTACTGTCGCGTAGAACATTTTAACTTGATCAAACCCTTCCTTCTACCCCAAATCGAGGTCGGCAGTTTGAAAAATCATGCTCCTGCAAGTATGCGACCATTTTTAACTGCTTCTAAGGCACTAGCACTGGTGCGGTGTGTTCCTAAAATGTAGCGCTTCATGTCTAGTTTCTTTTGGCGTATAACATGTTTCATTTATATGGTTCAAATTTGACATTTGGGAGGCTAATATTGAAGAAGAAGGTGAAAAAATCGTACAATCTCACCACAACTGCCCAAATCAAGGCACTGGACCTCATTTTTGGCCAAAAACGATTCCATTTTCGAATTCTTCGTTGAAAATTAGCCTAAGAATGACCTGAGGACAAAAAAATCAAACTTCTGCAAATGCGATCGACAAGAAACTTTGAGAATCTTATTTTTTCTCCAAAAAATGAAACCTCAGAAAGTTTGAAGCCAATCGGAATCGATTAACGGGTACCTCCCATACAAAATTGTCCAAAAATCGGTAATTTTAGTCAAAATGTCAAAAAATTTGTATGGGAGGTACCCGTGAATCGATTTCGATTGATTTCAAACTTTCAGAATCTTATTTTTTTCCCAAAAAATGAAATCCCAGAAAGTTTGTAGCCAATCAGAGTCGATTTACAGGTAGTACATACAAAAGTGTCAATTTTTTGAGGTTTTTCTTAGGGCAAGTACCCCAGGATCAAATCGAAAATGGCTCATCTTCGAACTTAAACTAAGTTTATTGGATACTAAACTTTTGGGACTTTCAGATTTGGATTATTTCAATTATTTTTTGAGTTATCGTGTTTACAAACAGCTACGACAACGACGACAACGACGACAACGACAACGACAACGACAACTATACAATTCCTATACTTTCCCTTGACACGTTGTGTACGGAAAAGTAATAAACCACCTCTGGCGAAGAAACGCTGTATGGTGCAGAATAATAATAATAATAAAAAGAATTACATTGGTAATCCCGAACTTTTCCGTACCGTTGGCCTGCGTTGTCCGTAGGTCCCAAGAGAAACGGCCAATATGTTTATACGCTGTCTATCCGCCGAAAATACACTACAATAAAGTTGACATTTGCTGTCAAAAGTGTAAACATCGACTTTTTCACCGCTCTTCAATAAAATAATTTATTTTCGTTTTTTTTTAAATATTTCAAACTGTTCCCAACTTTTATTTGCTACGACATGAAAGTTTAAATGACAATTTCATCGGAAAAAGTGAAGTTCAGGAGAATAGTACAAAATTAAAAAGGAAAAAAGCAGATTATTTTCAAGACTGTTTACAGTGAATACAATCGGTTTGCCACAGTGCTGTTTCGAGGTTGTTAGGACTGGCAGCAATAGGTTTTCCGATCGGGCAGTATTTCACTACGTGTATTATTTGTAAATATAATTTTATTGAACTAGTCAACATAAATTAAACGGTGAAATAAAAACATTAAAATCATAACACTGAACTCGCAGCAATATAACCTCAACATGTCAACAACACAACCACACAGCTGTGAAACAAACAATTGTAATGGATCCAGATATTATGGATGGTCTCTGAATTGCCGGTTTTGTGGTAAAAAAATATTTGTTGAGTGTCTACGCCAGCTTGATGAATTGAGAACGAAGGAGTTATTGCATGCGTTTGAACTGATGTCTAAAACTGTAAGAAGTGATGGTACTTTCGAATGGAAGATATTATCGGACAAACCCAGCAAATATTCCGAATTTCTTCAAATGTTCAGCGCTGATTCAATATTCGGAATAACATGTCATTGCTGTGCAACTAAGTTCAACAAGATAACCACTGAAATGGAGCACAGAGAAGTATCCATTCAGCAATTGAGTGAAGAAATCGTTAAATCTGTCAACAAATCGATACAAAACAAATTGAATAATGGTTTAATTGATTTAGGTGCATCATCTTCAGCTAGTCAAAGTGACAACAAAAACACCAATCCGAAAAAAACACCGGGGCCACAAAAAATCACACCGATAAATGGTATTTATTCAATTCATGTTTCTCGTTTGCCGAAAGATGCTACCTCCGATGATGTAACTGCCATTATCATTGCCAACTCTGAAATTCACACTGATGCCTTTTCTGTTGAGAAAATTCCAAACAAACGGTTCAAAGGTAACTCAAGAAATTTTTAATCTTTCAAAATTTCAACTTTGTCCCATGAAGTTTGCAACAAGATCATCACCTTGGATGATTGGGATCCAAATTACATCGTGAAACCATTCATTCACTCAGTGAAAAAGCAATCTGATGGTACAGCTCAGAAGAAAAATAAACAAAACGCCGAAAAAAAACGAACAACACAACATAATTCTGATAACAACAACAATCGGCAAACCAAAGGCAAACCAAATGCACATTTTCAACGAGAGCAAAATGACAATCAGCGAAAGACACGATATTCCAACAGAAATCATCGTTTTGAAAATTTCTCTCGCCCATACAATCACAATCGGAGATTTCAAAATCAAAATGTGTATAGCCAACGGCTAAGTCAGTGGCAGCAACCTGCTCCTTTTCTGCAGCAACCATTTTTCCATCCGCCGTATGTGATACCAGGTTTGCAACAAATGCATCATCATCCATCACAAATTCCAATGCAAATGCCACAACATCTACCACCACAAATGCTAATGTATGCACAACCTCAGCCATTTTATCACAGTTAAACCCAGCCTTCTCCACCTCATCATTCTGTTTAAATCCACTTTTTGCCACATCATTTCACATTCAGCAGCCACATCAACAACATCTATTCAATAATGTAGTTCCAATGTTGGATGAAGCTGCAATGTATTGCAATAATATGAATGGCATCAAAGATGAAGAAAAAGCGATAAACTTTCTTGCTGAAGTGCTTGCGTCGTCTTTCCTTTTTTACATGTTGAGCGAATCACACCTCAGTCCTGATGTCGCCTCTTCTGAATTTTTTCCACAACATTGACGATCCATTCGAAATTGCCAATTCATTTGCAGCACATTTCAAAAAGGCATACACACAGACAACTGATGGATCTGAAGCAAGTTATCGTGAAGATGATCCCATATTGTTGGACCGATGTGCTAACATTCCACCTATTCAAATCGATGAGGAATTAGTCATGGAAAAAATGAATGAGCTACCAAACAATTTGGTGTCTGGTCCCGACGGAATACCAAATCTACTCATCAAAAAATGCATGCTTTCATTATTAAAGCCAATAACTCACATATTGCACGAATCGTTGAATACTGGAAATGTACCGATCGCATGGAAACAATCTTATGTGAGACCTGTGCATAAAAGTGGATCAAAATACAAAATCGAAAATTATCGTGGAGTCGCCCTGCAATGCATAATACCAAAACTTTTGGATTCAATTATAGCAAGCCATCTGAATTATCACATAAAGAACATCATTGATGATAGCCAGCATGGTTTCATAAAGGGACGGTCAACAATTACGAACTTGGTTGAATTCACCTCACCCACACTGATCAACATGGAACATGGGATTCAAACTGATGCAATCTATCTTGATCTTGCAAAGGCTTTTGACTCAGTTGACATAAACCTGCTCATACATAAGCTGAAAATTATGGGACTGAATGAACAGCTGCTAAATTGGATCAAATCATACCTCAGTAAGCGTGAACAAATTGTAAAATTAAATGAAATCATGTCTAATCCTTTAGAAGTAACATCGGGAACTGGTCAAGGATATCCGATCGGCGCGACATTGTTCATCTTGTTCATCATTGATTTACCACACTACTTGGTCAATTCGAATCTAAAATCATTTGCCGATGACACACGCTTCTCGATGCAAATAAATCGAATTGAGGATTGTATAGCACTGCAAGAAGATCTAAACAGAATTGTTGAGTACTTCAAACGAAACCGTATGGCATTGAACGTCAACAAAACGAAACTTGTGTCATATCATCGTGGAAAATTGAAGTTTGCTTATGTTTACTCCATCGGAGGCGTTCCGATTGAGAGAGTCAAAATAATAAAGGACC